AAATCTAAATAAAAATGTAAATACAATTGTTTGCCAGATTTCCACTTAGACTTGATTTAAAGCCAGGGAGAAGAAGTGTGTTTTTAAGGAGGATCTAAAAACCTCAAAAGATCCTGAATGTGCCCGTAAGAAGTAAGGAGTGGTCATCAAGTATTTACTGATGACCAAATGTTAGGTGTAACTTTCCACAGTGAAACAATGTCCATAAGGCCCCATCTTGAAATTCCTGTTCGATGTCCACTCGCACACGCCCCAAAAAAGGAAAAACAAGTTTTTGAAACACTTGCATCCACGCCCAGGTCAATGGAAACCACAAACCACTTAGACAAAGACGGATATCTCTAGATCAGGGTGGGTTTTTTCCTTTAAGGGAATTACATGAAAAGACCTATTTCTGTCTAGTTCTCTTAGCTTACCTTAGCCTAGCTTAGTTTAGCTTAGCCTTGCTTAGCAGCTAGAAAAGTGATATAATCAAGCTCCTGGTTTTCAACGATGTACGCAACATATGTTTTTATTTGAGTAAAATAACTAAATAACTCTGGGTAAGTGTGGGTTTTTTACTGTATGGGAATTATATGATAATACCTATAGTATAGTTATAGGATAGGATAGTTCACTTAGCTTAGCTTTACAAGTCATGCCCTTTGTAGTTGTTTTATATTGGGTGGTCCAAACAAAGCTTTATACTTTATAATGCCTGAAAGGTTATGTGGACTAGTACTTCATTAAAAACTACTTGATTTCTTTGTTTGTATCAAATGTTGATCCATAACAAGTGGATCTATAACAAGCTGATCCACAACAAGTGGATCCATAACAGGAGGGGGGATCCTTATATCCACCTTTAAAGAGGTGGATCCACAACAGGTGGATCCATGACAAGTGGATCTATAACAAGTAGATCCATAATAGGTATATTAATAAAAGCTGGATCCGTAACAGGTATATTAATAACAGGTGGATCCACGAAAGGTGAATCCGTAACATGTGGATCCACAACATGAGGGGGGATCCTTATATCCACCTGAACTTATTTAAGGAGGTGGATC